AAATATGCAATTTGCATTTCTACCAAATGTTATATTAAACTAATTGAACCGAGTTCCTGTTAAATTCTTTATGCGCACATTATAATTACGCATGCATCTTAATCATAGGTTTAAATATATAATGTCAAAAAATTAATGACGGAAGTACGAGACACTTCACGTATTTTTTCGATATGAATAATTCATATATTTGCGCTGTAACTCAAAAAAAGACCTTTCAACCTTGATTTATGCTTCTTGCGAGATTTTCCTATTTGGTCCACGTCTTCGAGATAGATCGAATTTATTAAAATGCATACAGCACAAATCTCCAGAGACGTTCTAAAAATACCCAAAGGACATTCTATGTCCTAAAGACGTTTAAGAGGATGTCCCTCGAATAAAGTGTGCTGTGTGGGGAGAGTTATTTCGCTTTTCAATCGATCGTCCCCGAAGAGCCAGTCTCGCAGCCACTGAAATGATTAGCTTCGCCGCTTTCTAACTAACCAACATATATTATATCCTGACTACATGCGCGTATGTATAACGTGACATTACATCTTCCATTCTTTTGAGCGACATGCCCGCGATTCATAAATTTTATACATTATTGCTTTTCGTCACGCACGCACAATCCGCCTCGCGCTTTTTCTCATTTCTGATTATTCAACAATTTTAATTTAATTAAATTGTTATTATTTAATAGGATCCTCTTTCTAGTTCATTAAATAATACTTACTAATTAAAATTAACCAACGTGTCGAGAAGAGACATGCTAGTGTTGCATTAAACCACAATAAATCTGATTCCATTCCCATTTTTCTTGTACCATATATCTGTTGTATATATATTGGATATCAGTTTTTATCTGTTCTATGCGTTTTAAGCCGAAAATAAAGTTTATGATTAGCGTAAAGATATGATTATTAAAAGATTAACATATAATTTTTAGATAAAAATTTAAAATACTGCTATTGCAAAGATAAATATAGATAATTAGGCACAGTTTGGTCAACAATTAGGTAAAATTAATTTTAAAAAGTACTTAATTATAATTGTAATTGATTCTAATATTTTTTTGTGCAATGGGATCGGAAATAATTAAATTACAATGCATATAATAGCGTGAATTAAATTATAACGCAAAGTAATTATTGCTAAAGAGGAATACGAAAGAACGAAATGGTATTCACACCGGCATTTGCGCGTTTATAATCGCTTTACAATCTGCACAGTAATAGTACAATTTATATTATTATTTAATGTAATATAATTCAGGGAAGAGCGCGGGGAACGATTGGCACGCACAAACGCACTCTCGTATTTTGCACGCAGGATTCACACGCACACAAGGCGATAGTTACACTCGCGCTTAGATCGACGAATGTCACCTAATTGAATTACCGTATTACAACTTGTCTAATTCGCACTTGTCCATGTACAAACAATATGCAGCCAGAACGCGCTGGCTGTCTGCATTTATCTTGCATTACTTATATATATATATATATATATATATATGTATATATATATAAATATATATATATATAAATATATATATATATATATATACGCTTACGTAACGTATATTTATAGAGTATATCGTATGCATAGAAGGGCTCTATTTATTTGCCGTATTGTTCCTGCCGCTACATTATCTAGCAAGTTTTCGTTAGTTAACTCCGACGGCTCCCGGATTCGCCTGAAGCTTTAGTGCAATTATAATCCTCAAGATTCCATCGTTTCCAACGGATTCTCGTCACTTTATTCGGCTAGCAAGAATCAAAAGGATAAGTAAAGTTTTCGTAATAATCGTTATTTTCACGTTTCTATTAATAGATGTTTATCTAACCTGTATCTATTTTCAGGGATTAGCCTTCTCGTTTATATTGATTGCTATTTTTTTAATTATTTTCAATAAATGGAAACAAACAGGCAACTAAAAGATGAATTATAAAGAGTTTAAAGTAAAACAAAAAGTTATAAATATTTTAGAAAGTACAATTTAAAAAATAATTAAAAGTTTAATTAATAATATGCTTTTACTTTTGTCTCATTTTTACGACAAATTGAGCGTATCGAATAAAGAACAATAAGATTTCTCACAGAAATGTGAGTTAGCATATTTAAATTATAAGCTATATATATATACATAGATGTAACTATGCTGATATTGCATTGAAAAGTAATTAAGAAGGAAAGAATTAAATTATGATTGACGTTTTTGCATTAAATTTTCTATTCAGCTATTCTACATTTGCCATCCATGATAATTAAATTTCAATGTATTTGGAATTTTATTAGATAAAACGTAATTAAGACACTTCCGTTCAAAACAAATTGCTGACGTATCATTATCGAGATTCGATGCTGAGAAAATAAGATTGTCTTTGATCCTTAAAACACTAAATTGATCATCCTTAAAAGAGATGGGTGTAGTAGTGACGAGTCTGTAGTAGCGAGGGATAATTATAGGAATCCCGAGGGTTATTAATCGCCGGTATCGAGATTATGATCGAGCCAGCGGGAGGACTTCTCCAGCTGCTGAATAATTCCAGCTCGTGAATTTCTGAATAATTTGTAAATGTCAAGCGCTCGGTCGCCGTTTACAAGTTTTCCGCTTCGTATCCCCCTCTCGTCGTTCGGGCTGACAAATCGACCGTTTATACAGGGTGCCTCCCACAGTCACGAACTATTGACATTGCGCGCCATAATTACGGAGACGCGATGCGAGGTGCCGCGCCGTTTCGCATTGATATGCGCTGCCCTTATCGGCGCCATCGGCTAATAAACTAATCGATGACACAAATATATAAAAGAAACTATCGAGGAGAGCAAAAGTACATTTACACTGTGAGCAATTAATGTCTAACGAGAAGACATATTGCTTCTTTTTTTGTAAATAAAAAAGGTTATTTCATGTCTAAAAGAATTATCTCGTGTCTCTACGTTTGATTAATGATATACTTCCTGCATAATGAGTTGAAAATTCGATTGTCGGATTTGTATTGGCTTCTCTAAATCTATATGTGTGATATTAAGGCGATATTATCTAGCAAGTTCTGAGGCCATCTTTTTATTTAGCAAAAATTTGATTGGACGTTTCTTGCCTCTTTAGGACTTAGATTTTCTAAGGCACCCCGTACACTTCTAAGATAATTGGATATTTACAATTTGAATGTATGCGATTTGAAAGTGAGGAAAAAAAATGACAAAGGGAAAGAAAAGAATTCGGGGACCATTTGTCGAGATCGACTCGGGATACTTCGTATACATCAGTGCGATTTGAAACTTGAAAACGAGCGAACCACAATCGACTTTTTCGCTCGACCGCATTTCCAGGCTACCTCTATTACACACCTTTTCTTCTGTTTACATCGCTATTAACAATCTACATTTATCTATACACTCGAGTCTCTCGCGACACATCGTATAGACGCATGTGCTTCAGGTTTAGATTTCAACTTTAACAAACACCTAATGGTCCAGTATGGGAGGAAGTTTGTGTTGCTTGGCCATTAATTATACAGTAGATTAGTGCTTAGCCATTTATACAGACTGCCTCTCGCATTACGATCGATTTATTATACACGTGTTATACTCTCGTCTCGAACGATCGCGAATCGCGCCCACCGCATTTTGCCCTTCTATCATGCTCTGTTATGATCGATTTTATATTTTTATTTCAATTTTGTGAAATGCCTCTTGAGGCCAACTTCGAAAACGTGCGGCTTTTATATATGTCTTTATTTTTATTTTTCTTCGATTAATTTGTTAAGATTGCCGCTCTATCGCGTCAAAAGCGCGAATTAATTCGAATTATTAATTTATTTTCCATCCGGATTAACATTAATAATATAATATTAACGATAATATAATTGTGCGAAGAGTTTCAACGTTTAAAAATAAAATACTTCGAGTGTATATACATATGTAATAATTTTATTCAACAATTTGCAACAAAATGTTTCTATCTATTAATGGACTTTGCGTTAATCATTCGCTTTTCTAAGTAATAATTGTAATCTTGTCTGCCAATCAAGATTGGACATTGAAAATTTATTTTATATGTATATATACATTATATATAGAATATATATATAATTTATATATGTATATATTTAATCTCATTATAGAACGCAAAAATCTTGATTTCTCTTATTTTTCAACATTTCTCAGTTTTTATATATCATTAATATTATTCTCCATCATTCACTCGCTCGTAAATCATCTTGTAATCAAACATCATCAGGACCGCGTACGATTGTTAATGATTAACTCGCAATGCAACTCGTGTCCAAGTTACGTCGGTTGCATGTCGATCGCGCATAGTCTCATCGCAAAACACTTTTGCGAAATTATTGTGAAAAATGAAAATACAATTGACCAATGATTTCTACTTGATTTCGCGCATTTGACAAATGTATTCCGTGTCAATCTCGTTTCCAAAAAACTTATCAAACTCGACCTCAAAGCGGTGTCGATTGTCCAGGGCATCATCGATCATCTGTCCTTGATCATTAATCCTTTTACTGCGTAACGCAATAACACTATTTTGTAGTAGGTGTTATTACAGTATTATTATAATATAACGCAGTATACTTCAATCAGGTATACTTATCGCGTTCGTAGTATACATTAGCATCTACAGTAAATGCTTTTAAATTGTTGAACATGCAATGAATATTTTGTGTGTAAAAGTATATGTAAACTCGCTATTTTCTCTAATATGTTTCTGTGTGTGTGTGTTTGGAAAATAAAATCTGGATAATCTTAAAATAGGTAGTTTTAATGCAGTTAAACATGTCACAATTTTTATTGGTGCCTCAATAACTTTAGTAATTGCTATAAAAAGTAAATGATAAAATAAAATGTTAAAACAAAAAAAATGTATGTAATAGAAAACATAAGAGTATATTCTTCTTTAGAATTTTATCTGAAAAGAAAAATAATTTTATTTATTACACAATATTGATTTAACGTTAATTGTGATAATCATTGCATGTTTCAAGACCCGGAATTATATGACAGTCGAAGAATTAAGAATAAGGTTCGAGGACGCCCTGTCGAGATGTAGTACGTAACAAAAATACCATTAAATATCAATATATATTTAATAATATTTTTAACGGCGCGGTGAGCGATCCGCGATCGGCGGGAATGTGTGGGAATCTGTGCGGATCCGCCGATCGATCCCTACGATCTGTCGATCCGCACGGCGATCGAGGGGTAGGCGGAGATTTCTTCCCTTCGTGGATCTGCGCCCTTCAAGGCCACGAATTCTCTCTCATCAGGGTGGAACCGCCGCTACCACGTGAATGCGACATGTGGTGATCCTCCGCAAGGAGGATACTCGATACAAATTCTTAGTGATATCTTGATGTCCCTGTCACGAATCAAAGAGGCAAGTCGACCCAAAGAAGCTGATTGCAAACAAAACAACAAGGAGCACCGATGACGACCTGGAGATCGCCGCTTCGTTGCTGTACGGCATCTTCACTTCAACCTCGGCCATTTTGAAGATCGAGAGTAGCGGATGCGTGCGTACTTCGTGATGCTTATTGTTGATCTTGTCGCTGAGATCTTGCATCATCGATGCGCACTCTTCCTGCAAATCGAGCATGTTGATTAGTACGTTTTCAAATTCAATTCAATTAATGCATACAATTCAAATTTTTACACAAAAATAGCTTTTTTATTTCAACGTGAATTTAATATGATATTTGATTAATTATTAAATCTTTTACATCTATTATAATTGATCAAATAATAATCATGTTATAAGAAATCATTCTTGTTTGATTTTTTAATGTTCCAGCGTCATTATAAGTTGATTCTTGTTTGAATTTAGATATATTATTTGGAGTTTTTAGCAAACAGAATGTAAAGTCGATAGGAAAATATATAAGTGAAATTTAAAATTATTAACAATAAAGTGGCTTTTATTCATAAAAATGCAAAACGAATAATAATTGCAAACAAATAAATAATAATCACAGGATGTTTCGCACCTCGTCCAATCTTCTTCAGTTAAACAAATGAAAAGTTAAAACATTAATAAATTGTCTGTTTTTTTCTATATTCAGACACTGAGGATAGCTCGAAGCTGAGTAAAAACGTTTACCTTGGTATTAATTTGTACCCATGAATTTTAATTAAACGTTTAATATGGAATAACGTGCGAACTGTAAACTGCGTTTCGACTTTTATCTACCATTACCTTAAAATATTATTAAAAAATTTCTTTTTGACACTTATTTCAGCTTTTTTACTTTATCAACTAAACATATTCTCGCTTGAAATTAAAGAATTTATTATTTAAAATTTGTAAAATAATTTTTCATCTCTCTCAATGACATAGAAAGATGTTGATACTTTTATATATTTTTGTATTTTTTAATTCCTGATATATATGTATTTAACTTCAGATATAGTTCTTATGTACACTAATATTAAAACATTATAACATCGTGTGAAAAAATGAATCGATTAGAACTTATGAAATTTTCATTTAAGAAACACATTTATTTTGATCGAAGAATTCGTGAAGCGAATAGATAGATCTAGATCGTTTATAACGACCGGAATAAATTCTTCCTCAAAGTATAATCTTCACGAAAGCATGCGGATTTTTCGTTTTACTATCAATAGTTGTCCTACCAGAATTCAAGTTTTCTCTCGAATACGACTTAACGACGTCGAATGTAACCCTTCTCCCTTTATCGTGTACCTCTTCCCAGACAGAATCCAGCATCGATTTCCATTTTCAATCCTCTCCCGCTACCCATCCGCTACGCGCAGTCCTTGTTCCTCGTCCCCAAAATTACCCTCGGCTCGTTGAATCTTTAATTTCCGGCGTAGGAGTCCGCGAAGCTGGAAGCGATTTTTGGTGATATCTTTCTGGTGCGCCACGTGGCCCGACCAGATTTCTCAACGCCGGCGTTTCATTCGCTCGTTTCGTGCCGAGCGAGGTTTTCAATGAGATTAAATTCCGCGTAGAAGCTGGAATCTTGCGCGAATAACTTTGCTGTGACGAGCTGGTATAGTTTCCAGCGTGGAATGAAACTTTCGACGAGTTCGACCATGATATCTTTGGTGCTCGGAAAAACGACGTGAGTCGTCTAATTTTAGATGTGTCTTCGATGCATTAAAAGTCTACGTAAAACTAAGTTTTTATTATACTTCGCAATCATAATATAATCTATACTTTTAAGGGCAATTTTATGACGTAAAAGTATTATAAAATTTTTTTTCTTTTATGAAGAGTTTTGCTTAGGTTTTTTTTATAATTGCAACGATACTAATATGCATCAAATAATAAATTCGTTTTTTTTTACATTTACATTTATATTACTTCCATTTTTATCAAGACACATATTATTTAATATACGTAATACTTAATATACAAAATAGTATAACGTAATACTTAATATGTAAAATAGTAAAGATATCTAACCGCGAAACAGCGTTGTGATATATCCGTGCACTCAATAATTAACTCGCCACGTGTGAGAAACTTGGGGTTTACAATTAGCCCCAGCCAATACGCAAAATGAATTATCGTACTGGACTTTTGTCAGGCCATGCTGGATCATTACTGCTTCGTGCAGTTTCATTTAATTAGCCTAAAAACCCGACCAAGCGCATCTGGCATGTTTCGCATCTTCTTTTATTTATGGATTGTGTTCATTTTACAGTCAAATATAATTATTGAATTTAGATATCTAAATTACTAAAATAGCAGACGCATCACATGGAATTAAAAAGAATTAAATAAATTCGTATGTAACTGTCGGATTTCAAAAATTGCACAAGCAGCTTTTATGTGATTATTTTCTGATCGAGCTGTCCATTATATTAACAAATATATATATATATATATATATATTTATATATAATTTAAAATATAAATAAAACAAAAAAATAAACTTTAAGTAAAAAAAATTTTATTTATTTTTCTTAAATAAAATAACTAAATTTACATTTTAAAATGACATTAAGCTTTATTTTTTTCAATTCTTAATTGACAAATTTATTGTTTAAAATTTATTGTTTCGGCTGTGTATAATTCGTGCATTAAATAAAGTAACCGAATATGAAAGTCGTTAGTTACTTACTTACTATACTTTTTACTATTATTATTATTTTGCTATTATCAATTTTGTTGTATGGAGAAGTCGACGAGGCTTTTAATTGCCATATGTGTTTCCATGTACTAGATTTTCAGAATAATCCGACTTTGAATGGAAATGTGCAGCGTGACTTTTTTTTCCATCGGGATTATCCGACAGATTCGCAACAGTATTGTGTGCTGCGGATATGTAACTCCTACTTTTTTACCCCACGGATTGTGCTGCTTATCTCCCGTCGTGCTTCAACATCAGCCGACACGCGTTTAATTTTTCCCCGGATAATATTTTATTTAATCCGGCTTCGCCGTGAAATAATACATGTATGGTCTTTCGCGAGAATCCCGTTTGTTTCTGCAGTAAAACATCAGTCCCATGCACCGTCAAATAATTCAACAAAAGGCTTTAATGAAGTTAAGTAAAACCAAACTGCTTTTCAGCTTCATATCACAAAATTTAAATTTAATAATATCACAAACTTTATCTATTCTGAATTATTTTTGTTGATTAAGTCAATTATTGAAAACATTTAACAAAATATATTTTTGCATTGAAAAGAATATATTAAATTTTAATAAATATTTGTTTAAATAGTACTAATTAAACACTCACTCATATTAAATAAATATATACTTAATAAAAAAATTATACTTAAATGAAATTAATGGTTCTTGTATAAAATAAATATGTATATGTTTACATTTAGTAAATATTTAGTTAGTACTATTCAAATAAATATTTATTAAAAATTAGTAAGACGTTTTTTCAATATAATAACAATAATTATATTCTTTTTATATACACAATATATTAAATTATGACATATTTAGACGTGCCAATTTCTAATTTCAAATAAAATCTGTCAGATTTGTCTATTAAATATGAAGAATAATTATATGTATAATCATATCTTTTATGTATTCCAATAACGTTTTTAATCATACTGCTTAATAATTCTCGACTGTTTAATTCTTCTTGCAATTGTTAGTTATTGTTCAATAATTCTTTTCAAAGAAATATTCTCAATATAATAACTGTATTGCCCTATTAAAATAATTAATGACAATCGAAGTAATCAAATCAATCGCGAGTTGCCCCGATTTCGTGCCGAACATAACATTCTGCTGTTTACGCCGGTTGTTTAACGTTATGCTTTAATTAATATCGTGCTGTGCCACATGACGAAACTCACTGGCAGCTCGATGGTTGTTCTAATTTACGCTCTCTTGTATTATGCGGTACGTGCCTCTTCTACCATATTAATCCAGGGTTAGAAGTACATCCGTGTTACATTGCGTTTCGCCAAAATAATTTCACTTTACAGGTAGATACGTGCTAATATAATTATTCGGAAATTGGCAAATGCATAAGTGAATATACGAGGAAAGCTAATAAATTATTTGCATAAACATCTAATGATATAAAGGCTGCAATGAATAATGTTGCTTATCTGCAAAGGGTTTGTTTAATGTAAGCGATCCTAAGTTAGAAATGAAAATTGTTAAGACGGCGCATAATGATTGTAGATGCAAGTAATTTCTAATAAATAACTATTAAAATTATCTTGTTTAATGATTTGCGTACGCCGAGAAAGTTGTTAAACGAGATAGAATTAGTTAATGTAAAATGAGTCTCAGAATACAATAAATTTTAATAAAAATGTGTGAATCACATTTTTTAACTTAAAAGTAGTTAGCCGATTTTTTTATATAGACAATCATCTGTGTGTGATGTTTTACACCCTAATTAAAATCTTTATTATTAACATTTTATTACTGATATTATATATTACTGATCGATTTCTGATTTATTAGTATTTTAAAACATTATATGGACATGGATTCAATCACAATTTTTTGATGAAAGTAAGTAGAAACTAAACAAATATTAAACGAAGCATATTAATAAACTTGTTATGATAGTATTTCTGAAAGAACAAAATAAATTTAATTAATACGACGTTTTTTATTGCGAGTTTTCGATAGAATTTCATATTTAAAGATTCGTTAAAAAAAATAGTTAAACAATATCCATAAGAAACAATAGTTACACTTTTTTTGCCGCTGCGCACTGCGGTACATAAATGTTTCTGATCACTATTCCCAAGTTAACGAGAAATTATATTTATGTAATTTGTAAAATATCAAAGTTATTGTTATATACTGCTGCGCTCGCCGCGTAAAACGTTGCACTCCCGGAGGCAAACGCGCTCTTGCGACATTTTCGCACGCGCACAAAATGAACAAACACAGTTACTATTCTTTAGAAGAAACTTTATTCGCGAGTAGCATAAGCTGTCAACTCGCTGTCATGACCGTTCCAGCCAGTCAAAACCATCATCACAAGGGTCGATCTTCTTTCTTGTTATCTTTATCAACTTTCTTCACCCGCATATACAAGAGCATAGAAGCAATATTATTATAGAGAGCAATACTATTTTTAAACAGATGATACAATAAAACGCGTTACAAATATTAAA